TTCTTATTCCTCTTGATCTCATTTCCCCAGTTGCTCTTGCTTTAAGACTTTAAGACTTTAAAAGCATATTAGAAACCTATTTACCTCAAATGACTATCACTGCCCTCCCTAGATAGCTAAAGATGGTTCCCTTCACTCTGAGGGAGTGAGCCGGACACAGGTCACGGTCCTTGTATTCGGCAGAACTGAAACAGTAAGGAACAATCATTTACCTGAAGCTTAAGAGGTTCGTGTAGCAATTGACACCTGACGTCCTTCAGCACCCCTACCGCAGAACGCACCTGATAGTAAGAAAGTTTTGCATTTGGTTTGGAGAAAATTACAAAAATCAAATATGAAGCAATAAAACACGGTTGCAGTCACACATTGTACCATCTACCTTATTGCAGAAGGTTTGTGACACCGCACAGAGAAGAACGACGATCATGTTTCCCTGAAGAAAATACACAGCATTTTCGTAAAGGCGCGTCGCGTTGGAATTTATATCTTCGATCATGATATACACGACCGAAATGTCGTACATGATCATAGAGCAAACAATGAGAGAAGCAGGAATCGAGATGTAATCCATGAGTCTGTCACGCCGTACTTCCATCTGGTAAAAAGAGAAAGTTGGCGTTAATTACAATTCTAGTTACATATAATAGCCTATGCACAGTCATATCCGGTGGGATTTTAGGTAGAACAATGTAATTTTGACTTGCGAAGTGATTGCGTCGTTCTTATTCGAAGATCTCATGTTCAGTTGTTTACCAAATGCCAAACAAGGAGACTTCAGATGCATTATTAATCTAAAAGGTTTTACAGGGCACAAGGACTAACTGAATGCTATGTAGGAGTCATACCACTGGTAACTACTTTGTCTGGCACTTTTTACATAATACATTTTTTCAGTGCAAGGCTCAAGTTAATGTATTTTCATTAAGGAAATCTTCATTGAAATATTCAGTACGAATAATGTAGAGCATTATTCGTACTGGACGGAGAGCAATTAACACACCAAAGATGACAACAATAATCCGTAACAGCTAAGGAGTTTGAGGGATAATGATAACTAAGAAACAGGGCAAGTGCTTGACAAGGAGCAATACACATTTTCTATAACTATACAGACTTATAATAATAAGACCAAAACATAACGATTTTTGAGCGGATCATTCTTCTCTTTGCAATAGCTATTCGAAAAGCAGAAATGACGCTGTAGCTGCACTATCTACTCACATCTCTGATTTGACGCTCAAGCCTCTGTAGACAAACAAGTTGCTGTTCCAGAATCTGGTTTGGCAAAACGACAGCTACGTCAGAACTTGAGCTTAACGACAGCTGCTTTGCATGCACTTCGGTGTTCCATTCAAGTTCATCAGCAAGAACCATCAAAATTTCCCCATAAAGTAGCACGATGAGCGCATTTCTCAGTAAAGTTAAAAAGGTGACAAAACACATAATTTTTGTGTTTTCATCAGGGACTATTATCATATTTTTCACACAAATTATACAGCTCGCCAATGTTACTATGGCGAAGGCCACCTGGCCGAGGCTGCTGGAAACCGAGATTTTTCTAGAGGTGTTCCGATGCTTCAGTGTCAGCGTCGGCAACAGGTCTGCGAGGGTGGAGCCTTTGCAAAACTGAACCAAATGACTCAAGAAACAACCAAGGAATAAGGTTAAATATGATAATAAGATAGCAGTAGAAGCAACAGTGTTAGATAAAGAAGACGAGAATGATATGGGCAAAATAAAAAGCTGTATCATTTGTACAACATGTAGTGCAAGGGACCACAAGAACAAAGGTATGCTGAACTGCACTGCATCTGGTTCATGAGACGACCAAGCGAAGGGGAAGAGGCCTATAGCCTGGCTGGCGAGCAACAAGAGCCGGAGGCGTGACGCTGATGAAAATAATTTCTGCAACATAATTCGAACAGAATGCAAAGCAGACCGGGCCGTTGTATGTCTCTCTCTCCGGATGTATCTGGCGATTGATCGGATGGCCATCAAGAGCCTCCTCGAGTAGCTTTTGGACATAATCAATAGGCTTCTAGCACGACCGGTGCTGTTGTTATTGCAGATAATTCACAGAATAAACATTGTAACTTCAGAGTGACTTGCCACGCCCATACCACATGCGGCGTGGCAACAAAACACAATTTAACCTTTCCCCGACCATCGTGTCGTGGATGCAACTGCACGATTACTGCACACACACACACACGCACGGACGCACGCACGCATGCACCGCCGCACGCACCCCACACCCACACCCACACCCACACACGTGTGTATGTTTATATATTTTTTTTTCTTTCCTTTTTTACGTTTTGGTATATATGTACGAGTATTTTACCTTTACATCAGAATTCTCAACCTGGGGGCGCCAACCCTGTGATTCCTTACCTGTAAGAAATGAATGAAATACTCTAACATTCGGAAGGTTGTGGGGATAAGCCTGCAAATCCTCAAAAACCGGCCTCTAATATAGGTCTGGAGTTTATGGATTATCCTGGGATTAAGGAATATCCGACTTAGTTAATCCTCTCTGTCTGTCTGTCTGTCTCTCTCTCTCTCTCTCTCTTAAAGTTTATATATTCTTTTCACTTCTTGAAATAAACGAACATCAAGCTCGGCTTGATAAAGCAATTGACAAAGATGGTGGGATGCTTCACTTACTTGTGTTAGGCTTTTCTAGAATTGACCATAGAAAAGATGAAAGCTGGCATCTTTGACGGTCCTCAAATCCATCAGCTCATCAGAGATCCTGATTTGGAAAACTCAATGAACGAAGTGGAACTGGAAGCGTGGAAGGTTTTTATTCTGGTCGTGAAGAACGTTCTTGGCAACAACAAGGCCAGGAACTACGTCGAACGTCACCAATATGATTACTACTTTCAGAAACCTTGGATGCAACATGAGCATCAAAATGCATTTTTTACTTTCAAATTTGGATCGATTTCCTGAAAATCTGAGATCAGTGAGCGACGAGCAGGGGCAGAGATTCCACCTGGTCATGAAAGAGATGGAGACCAGGTATCAGGGACGCTGCCATGCAGTCATGATGGCTGATTACTGTTGGACTCTTTAAGAGAGACATCCCTGCCGCTAAGCATTCCAGAGGTATAATGCCCTGAATTTTGAACAATGATGACGTAACATTCAGTTAACATATACTTACTTTTATCAGTGTCTACTACTATAAGCGAAGTTTGGAACGTTTAATTAGTTAACTATTAGAAAACGATTTTTTCTCTTAAAAACCTATTTCAGATGAGAAATATTAACAAAAGTCAACTGATGATATCACAAAAATCTAATCGATTTATTAAGAAAATCTGGTTTAAAAGAAAGTCAACAGATGTCATTTTCGGAGTCAGCGATGCAAAATTGTCCTAAATCAGTTGAAAAAAACAGACAACTTACAAAAAAAAAAAAAAAAAAAATAATAATGATAATAAAAAATGTTTACTCACTGTAATTAGATATGCATGGTATTAGTTTGGGGTGGAGCTTGGGGGGCATTATCCACTTTTGCAGGAGCTTTGCATTCCCATCAGTAATATTGCATATATTATTTAAAGCGCTTGTGTGTAGACAAACTCAGTGTTCTATTTATTGGTAAAGTTACAAGATGAAGTATATGAACCATAGTATTGTTCCTAAATGTTTAGAACTTAAGAACTGTTCAGAAACTACTTGTTGGGATTTCTAAGATCTCCAAAAATCCCAAATGCATTGGATTTAACTGCAACAGAGAAGCAGGAAAGGACTGACCAGAGAACAAACAGAAATATCTCATACACATGTCAATTTCAGGGTGTGGATTTCAGCTTTATCAACAAATAAATGAAATGCCTGTATACTCTGAGTTGGCTGTACAAAGTTAAAGGAACAGCATGTTGCCAGATATGGCATACAGTAACGTCAGGGATGTGAAAACACATAGCTTGGTCCTTTTTCAAAGGTACTGTATCAGCATTTTTAGTCTAATATTGCTTAACAAATTCAATTCATATTTATCATCAATGATCAGAGACTAACCTTTGAAGATGTGTTGCTCATACTATCAGTGCATCACGTCACATCAATTTACTTTATTTATTGAAATATTTCTGCTATAGCAACCACTAAGGTCATGATGGCATATGCCAAATATAACGATAAGAGTGAGGTTTGGGAGGCGAAGCCTCCAGGTAAGGAAGTTTTTTGGTTTATAAGGCAATGTTTATGGATTCCTAGAATGGTTAATGGTCAAAACAAATACATGTGCCAGACATCATAGATCATACAGCACTATGAAAAAGCATTATGGCAAGAAGGTTAAAATGAGTTTACAATTAGGAGAAAATATGTTACGTGTCAAAGGTTGTAGAGCATTTTAGGTTAGTATGGTAGTGAAAAGGTAAAACAGGGAAGAGCAAACGATGTACAAAGGCCATTCAGGACTGACATAAAGCCAGCCTTTCATCCTTTCTGGACAGAAGAAGGGGATGAAGAAGAGAAGGAAAAGGAAAGGCAGAGAAAATTAGTTGAAGCATGGGCTTAGCTCCAAGGTAGGGGTGATCCCTTACCTAAGGCTTTAGTCTCCATCTCTTAAGCCTCCCCCCCCCCCTAACAACAACAAGAAGCAAGTTATTGGGGAGGAGGACGTCGCGTCAAAATATTCTTGAAATGAATCCGTGGTTTGAGAGTGCTGTGATGTGACGGTGACATTACGGAGATGAACCGTTTGGCGTGAAGAGGTCCATTTGAATACATTGGAAAAATTCTGATGTAATGGTGATGTGTTGCGATGAATAGTGTGAATCAGACTTTATTGCATATAGACAGATAAGATGCAGTGCTTAGAATAACAAATTATTATTTAGAAACGATAGTATATGATGATACAAACTTCTTTAAGCTACAAGTGTATATTTCAGAACTGCAGATTTTATGGTAACATATGGAAGCTGAAGAGTTTATATATTATACTGTATGAATATCAAATAATAAAAAGTAAAAAGAAATTCAAACTTCAAAACTTCTTTATTATTAGAGAGTATTATAACATTCAATATAAAGTATTTAGCACAATTTTTCACTCTTTATATTCAACAATATAATAATTTAATGTGACTACATTCTTAACAAAATATGAAGTTTTCAGATTTTCAAACAAAGCAGCCAGTCTAAATAAAGCCATAATGAAAAAATACCATATATATCCACATAAAAGAAAAGAAGATTCTTTAAATCATATTCCTATTTAGCTTGTGTCCATTTCCTCTTCATTAGATTCTTCATCAGATTCTCTCTGTAGCTCGTTTTCTACGTCTTCTTCATCTACAGCTTCCTCTTCAAGATCCTCTTCAGATAGAGGTCCCAACTCTTGTATTAACTCCTCCAAATGTTCAATTAGTTGGTTATCTTCAGAAGGAGCTATTACATGAACCTTGGAAAAAAAGAAAAAGATTAGACCTAATCCACAGATATATACACCAATTACATGACCATTATATGACATAATCATGATTCTCAACTTTGTCTAATTTCACTGTAAATAGTTCCATGACATTAAACTTTGACTTTCAGCAAAATATTTGACAATCATTTAATACACCTTTGATACATTGAATTGCAATCACATCTTGAGAGGGTATACTATTATATTTTTTCTAACTGCTTCATATCTGCCTTCTAACCTTCTTTATCTACAAATAAGATTATGGATACATATACATGGGGGTAATACTCTAGCTCTCCCTTCCTCACTTTAATTAATGCCTCCCCAACAGAATAAATCAATTTTTTATCCCTTTTAATGTTTTACTCTATCATTGCTACAAAATTCTTCCCTTCTTTTATATCCAAGCTTACAGGTATCTTCTACTCTTTTTTCATACTGCCTCCAAGCCTTTTGCTCTCCCTTGTTTCATTCTTCCTTACCTCTTAACTTTGTTGTCTCTAAATTTCTATTCAGATTGCTCTTTCCTTCACCCCTGTTATTTCTCATTTTTTCCCAGTCACTTCCCTTCTGCTTATGGGGGGGGAGGACAGACTCTACTGCTAATGTTATTTATGGTGTATTCACCTGTTTAGCCCGGTGGAAATAGAGTCTTGCGGAATCTTTGTGATCTTCTCCCTGAAGGTAATTCAGCCATCCCAGCAAGTACCAGGTGTCAACAATCTACAGATCAAATAAAATATATAATTTAGTAAACTGGTAAACAGAACACATCACATTACACTTGAAATTATAATATTTTAACTTATACATCTCTATCAATCTACATAATATATATATACATATACACAATATACATATTTACATACATAATGTATATATCTACACACACACACACACAATCACATATTTTACACACACACACACACACACACACACACACACACACACACACACACACACACACACACACACACACACACACACACACACACATATATATATATATAATATATATATATATATATATATATATATATATATATATATATATATATATATATATGAAAAATATTCTGACAGCATCTATGCATGAAATACATTTTGGACTCTTGGCAGGTGAATTTTACAAAGGCTTTATGGACACTACTAACAATAAGAATTCATCACACTGAAGTATTTCTCATCCTTATCATCATCATGCAGCCTCTAGACTTATGCATGCTGGCAGTAAAGAAACACAGGCCAACACAGAAAAAATTCATAGTAAACTTTTCTAAACTTTACACTGCAAATATTTACTTTATTTAGTTTAATCTAGACACAATTAAAAAAAAGTTACATCTTACCTCATCATCTTCCTCTGACAACCCTTCCAGGACTTCTACAGCAATGTCGTATTCTTGGACTTCAATCAGAGTTCTAGCAGCACTCAGTCTCGTTGGGTATGATAGTGGACAAACATCAATTGGGTCAAAGGATCCTGCTTCTGCCGTCCCTTCGTGAATCTCTTTATACTTGGGTAGCCAAAGATCTATTGACTTCTTTATAAATGTCCTGGCTTCATCCGGCTGCTGTCTTACCAACTGATAACTGGCCTGCAACAATTTTAATGCTTTGGATTACTATAGACAGAAGGGGATATGGCTGCATGAATGAATATGTGCATATCTGTGTGTGTGTGTGTGTGTGTGTGTGTGTGTGTGTGTTGTGTGTGTGTGTGTGTGTGTGTGTGTGTGTGTGTGTGTGTGTGTGTGTGTGTGTGTGTGTGTGTGTGTTGTGTGTGTTGTGTGTTTGTGTTTGTGTGTTTGTGTGTTTGGTGTTTTGTGTGTTTGCGTGTGTGTGTGCGTGTGGTGTGTGGTGTGGTGTGTGTGTGTGGTGTGTGGTGTGTGGTGTGCGTGTGTGGTGTGTGTGTGTGTGTGTGTGTTGTGTGTGTGTGTGTGTGTGTGTGTGTGGTGTGTGTGTGTGTGTGTGTGTGTGTGTGTGTGTGTGTGTGTGTGTGTGTGTGTGTGTGTGTGGTGTGTGTGAGTGTGAGTGTGAGTGTGAGTGTGAGTGTGTGTGTGTGTGTGTGTTTAGTCTATAAAATATTAAATCCTTTGATTAGGCTCTTCTTACTTAGACATGTTTCATTATACTTAATCAATAAAATGCACAAACGTTTACTCATGTTTGCAAACATATATACTCTTATACACAAATATAAAAGATAAATAACAAATGATAATTATGAAATATAAAAGCATTTAAAAACAATTGCAACAGGAGAGTAGCTAATGAATTTGTTATCAGATAATACCACTAACAACTTAATACAATTAACACCTAATAATAATGTGTGATTTCAATGTAATAAACATTATCTGCATATAGAATCGTAAGTATGTTCATGCACAAACATAATACTGTACCATAAACTGGAAAGCCTCTGGATTGCTGGGGTCTGTTTCTATGGCCTTGTTTATGTATGCAAGACACTGATTCTCCGCTTCTTCCTCATCACACAGATCGGTCATATATAATTCAGCCACTGAACAACACGCCGTTGAAATTTTGCGTATCAGAGCAGCTTTCCCTTCTTTTGAGTCTTCAGGTTGTTCATCCAATTCTGCTTTGGCTCCATCAGGTAACATCTCCTCATTTGTAGTTCCATTTTCGGTGCCCATGTTTTCTGCGTCATTTGTGTCTTTACTTTTGTTATCCGCAGACTTCTGTGCCAGAGCAATAGTTTCAGCCAAAATTTCTATTCCTTTCTGATAGCACTGTAGTGACTCATTACCTTCCATGAGCTGTGCCATGGATAAATACTTTGAATAGCCTTCATCTGGTTGGAGTGTGATGGCACGCCCAAGGCAGTGTTTTGCGCCATCCAGATTTCCAGTCTCAAGACAAAGAGTGGCAGAGGTTTCTAAAGCGGGGATATAGTCAGGTTCTCTTTTAAGAGCTTCTTGGCAATACTTTTGGGCATTTTCATACTGGAAACAGTCAATGTACTCCTGTGCTTTGGCTAGTAGTTCTTCTGTGGAAAGGGTTTCTAAACTTGGTTTGGCTGCCTTTTTCTTCTGGGCTTTCGCTAGTTTCTTTTTCTGGGTATTTATAGCATTTTTCCCCATTGTTCCTGAAAAATATATAAATAAATTAACAATATTAACATACATATGTATTTTTTTACATATTAATAGTGATGCTGACAAACAAACTTATCCACATGAAGAAGGATATTAGGACAGGTGCACTATGTAAAAGCACAGACTATGCAAAAAAAAGATTGGGAACCATTGATCTGTGGTGCTCACCAAAGAAAAAAATATGGAAAATTAACCTCCTGTTTCTGCATTAATAAGCCAACAGTCGATACTTCACAAGGTAAAATTAATAAAATTCAATAATTGTGATGTTAATCCCAAATACAAACTTGCATAGAACAACAGATTCCACATAAAATACATCAATGATTGCTACAGTATTATTATTCACTTCTTTTCAATGTCATTAAGTATATCTTTTAAAAGCCAAAGTACCTGAATGTACTCTTCATAAGGGCAGGGGAATAGAGAGTACATTCAGTACACTTTTGAAAACACTGAAAATCATGAATGACTCCTTACTATACAGAGCTGTACTTTGAAATAAGAATAATAAAGAGCAAATATGCAGAAAACCAGCACAAATATTGCTAAAAATTGGCTAATGAAATTCTACAGTGTCCACCATCTTTGAAAGTCTGTGGACTGATGCACCAACTTGAAAAAAAAAAAAAATACATATTAGGAACCCAACCCATCTTTTGGTAAAATCTACAGAAAATCACAACACTAATACATCCTGACCAGTAAAGCAGCTTAATTCCAAGTCACAAACTTTATTCAACAATTTAAGTTGCTGTGACTAGGCATGCCCGCCTGCCCAAGGGGAGGGTTGACGGGGGACAAAACCCCAGGAAACATTCTCTTCACCTCAGTTATGTACCTTACGGAATAAACCAAACACTGTTATATCTTCGAGACACCAAACTTTCCTTTGCTTCTGTCTATTTTCTGGATGTCTTGGTTTCTAATAATTTTTTTTCAGCAATTTGGGGCACTTTAAATGCTGTGACAGTTATTAAGGTCTATTTATTATGCATATTCACTATGCTGTTTTAAAAAAGGACTCAAGAGTCAACACAGCACTGATACAAAACATTTCTCACTGGTGTTTTGTCAAGGAGTGGCGATCGTGAGGTCTTGAAAGTCCCAATGGAAAGCACAAATGCACATTAGGTTTTTGTAAAGAATAGCATAAAACTATCAAAAGACGTAAAAAAAAATTATCATCAATAAAGGAATGCATAAAATACATGCATTAGGAAAATCAGATGTTGAAATTAACAAAATAATTGTCTTCACAAGCAGGTAGTAATACATGAACTAGTTGACAGATCACAAGTATGAGTTAAGCAGTCATAGTATTTTAAACATTTGTGGGTAATTTTTTCTAATATGTCTCAAATGATCGCGACAATTTCAGTATCATTGGATTCCTCTCACCGTCTGCATTGCAAATATATAGGCACTGTTGTGCAGAAGCCCCCCCATCCCCCACATTCTTGGCTCTGATAGCAGGGGAAGGTATGAAAGGTACCAGGGAAATTGCACCCCCAACCCCAAGAATCCTCTATGTATTCATGGCAGGAGGGGTCTGGGGAAAACACGTAACGTAATTTCATTTCGCAAAATGGAATGCCATATACTAAATGGAATGAAAAGAGGTCGTTTTTTTGTGTGCAAACCTTCAGATACACATGCAGGCGTCCAATCTTGAACCATATCCAAATACCCAGAGAGGATTAATTGTAATTTTGCCAGAGATTTCAAAGTATGGCTGATAATAGATGGGCCCACGGCCAGATGGCAGCACTTCAGCTATGTCGGCCAGTAGGCAGTACAGAACCTTGTTGACATGTTTTCTCAATTTGGTTTCCATACACTGATACCTGCAACACTTAAGTTGAACATATGAACACAACTGAGACATACCAAAGGTTATTTGTGCATGTACCGTCCATCATTTGGTAAATTACGTAATATCATGTTCCATTTCGTATACAACATTCCATTTTGTAAAATGGAGTTTCATTACGTATTTTCCCTACAGCGGGCAGGAGAGAGTGTCTGACAGACTTAGAAAACTTATCCCACATGGCAGTTGTATGCTTGTGCCTGCCATAAATACATGGTCATAATTTTGCTTACATTCACAATGTCAACATGGCGAAGAATTTAGATTCATATATCTCCTTTATTTTCGGTTTGCGCACCTTATGCCACAGATGAAACGTGTCTTAGTCTATGTCAAGGTAATCATTCCGTAACTTTTTTAAAAATGTAACCCTGATTGTAATCTGCTGGAAATTTACCAAATTAGCTAGTTCAACCATGATATCAAGATGCAAAAATGCTATTTCTATGGAATAGTTTCATTGAATTCCTGATGGATGTTATATAGACTCCTTCAGAATTTATTACTTCAATTTGCAGTGATCTTTTCCCAAGAAATGCATTTAATTTCAATACTTTACCAGCACTACCTGATGGGACTGTCGGCTACGCTTTTAATGTAAATATAACATACAGTCTTTTCCACAGACGGCATGTTACCTACTCCGGATTCCAATGGTCAAGTATTTCAACAGCTGAAGTAAAAAAATAAAGCCCAACAATGGAAATACCTGGTGAGCAGCCGCCCGCACGTGGGTCGGTCGAGTCCTCTGCCTTGTTTTGGTTTTGACGCAGGAGTCCTCGGAGGATGCGCGATCGAGGTCGGTGGCCTACGATACCTGCGTGCACGAAAGGATGAGCTTTAAGATGTACGAGGTGGAACTAATTGTGCTGTGAAGGTATCGGGTCTTATATATACTTTTCCAACTTATAATACAGCAGTGTGTAGGTAAATATGTGTATGAATATATATTTATATATACATTACATGTGTATATATACTTATATAATAAATCTGAACACCAACGTTGCCAGAAAAAAAACATTTCGCAAGGTGGAACAAATAAGCGATGAACTTCAATTTAATAGCAGAAATCAAACGTTTCGGGTTGACTTCACCCATCTTCAGTGAGACATAAATGTAAAAAAAACATCATGAATATGTACAAAGTTATGTCAGTTATTGGTGACATTATTGTTAAATACAATTCAACATTAATTAAAGATACTGTAATTATTATAAGTTGACAATTATAAGTAGACTTGAGAGAGAGAGAGAGAGAGAGAGAGAGAGAGAGAGAGAGAGAGAGAGAGAGAGAGAGAGAGAGAGAGAGAGAGAGAGAGAGAGAGAGAGAGAGAGAGTGAGTGAGTTATGTAAATGTATCTATGTATCAATTTGTTGATTTTATTCGATACATCCTGAAAAAACTACCCTAGCGATACCAATAAAACGATACTGTTTTAGAGTGGTTAAGGCGATACCGATACCAATACAAAAGTATCGAAAGATACGTATCGCCGGTACACTTATGGCGATACTGCCCATCTCTGTATATGACATGTATGTATGCCCATATATATGTACTCACATATACTTTAATGCGTGTATGCAGGTTTAGTGAATCCCTGAATCCCCGGTAACTGGATATCTACAGCAATGGCACTGTACTGCCAGGTCTAATGTAGACCTTGCTGTACTGTACAATGTGGATCCCCATCCACATCCTGTGTAACTCATGCTTACAATGGTTAATTTTCTTTGTGAGTGTTCTTTAATCAAAGATATTCTTCTGCTGTGTGTGATCTTGCTAGAACGAATTTATAAAAGTTCAAAACTCCGCAACGGAACTCGCGTTGTGATTAATAAAACTTTTTGATATAGGTCTTAAACCTGTATTACAATATATATGATAATCAGTTTACATGTACAGCAATGTGAAATACCAAACATGTTATTTGTAATATACCTTAAATGTCAAAATAAAGAATACGTTCGTATGACGCTATAATTGTATTCCAATTTCCGTTCGTATCCCCTGTAAATAAACAGAGGCGGTCGGCGTTTGGTGTCTCCGAAAATTTTATATTCAGTTTTAATCTGAGTTCAGTTTAGAGACAACTGAATCATGTCTGCAAATCGACCAAGAGTCCAGGTTCTAAATCTTCCTGATGAAGAGAGTGACGAGTTAAAAATAACACCACTGTAAGTAGTCTACAGAGATTTGCATTCTGTAGATAAGATCATGCTTAAAAAATGAGTGATGAAGTTATTAATTTTTATTTGCGAAACTCTTCCAGTTTTTTTCACATTCTGTTTGGCTACAGAACAGTGTGACTTTAGGCCACCAAGAATTCTAAGGATTCTATATATTTTTAAAGTTACTAACAACCATGGCTTCCAGAGACAAGCTATATGTTTTTTGAATGTCCATATGGTGCACCTTGAATATTATGGTAGAAATAGATTCCAATTAAGTCACATCAGCTCATTCATTTATTCTAGATTTATTACCTGATGGTGATATAGGCCTAGTAGTATTCTTGATGGCAGTAGTTCATGTTTTTCATCAAGGAAATTTTCTAGAATGTGACTGTATCTTGCCCAATCAGAAAGAGAGCCCCAGTGTAATACAGAATAATGCCTCAAGGTGCAGGCAGAGTCAGCTGCTTGAAGGAAAAATCGTGAGAAACATGGGTAACATAAGATTTACCCAGCTGTCTGTGCTGTTGGGTTTGTCATAAATAGTTTTAAGGGTAAATTTACAGCAGATAACAATCAGGATTTGAGTTTTAAAAAATGTACGGAAAGGTTACCTTGACGTAAACTAAGACACATTTCATCTATATCCTTCTTAACCCAATAATGACGGGTATCACGTATGAGACACCCGAAAAAATAAACAGTGCCGGGTGTCCCGCCAGTGTGACGCTGTATTGGGGCTCGCACTCCAACGCAGCAGTCGGCCATGGCAGGCAGGTGGACATACTCCGTGGAAGCTCCACCCGCTGATTTTGTAGCTGCCTGGAATCTTTTATTTTTGGCTTCAAAATATACCGGTGTCAATGGGTTAAGTTGTGAGGTTATGAAAAGCCTTTAAGTCTACCTATGAGCAGCTGTTTTTCCTCTTGACAATGTAGCCAGGGCTAAACATGTGCACAAATGGTTAGCATGCATAACATAGATAGGCTGGATAGGTGTCAACAGGCATAATTGGGTTAAAACATCAAATTTAGTATCACAAGGCTACTCATGATGTCTAATGTGCATTATATAGTGTTTTGTATTACAGAAAGTTGAATAATATGAAGTTTAAAAAATGACCCAGAGTTGTAGAGTACCCAGAACAATGATTGAAGTCTGTGCAGCTTCTCCTGTCTTTATGCAGTTTACTAAATGACAGAAGCAGACCTTGGAAAATGATAGAAAGGCAAAAAATGCTTATTAAGAAAAAAAAAAAACAAATATTACATTATTATATATATATTATGTATATATATATATATTATTATGTATATTATATATATATATATATATGTATGTATGTATATATTGGAGTAGAGGCAATAAGTTGACATCGCACATGATTGTTCTTATGGGTTGGGCCTAAAAGCTACACACCGGCCACAGAAGTAAGCCTAATGATCATATTTTAGGCCATGTGCAGGCATTGATCAACCCGGATCCAGTGTGTTAAAAGAACAAATGGTTTGTGGTCTTCTCAGACTTTCTGGTCATCTGTCAAAATGGCAGCAAGCATTTTAAAAGTTTATGCTATAGGATAAGCACCTGACCACTTATTCTGCCAAAAGACTGAAGTCTTTTACACATTTTTCAGTTTTTTTTTTTCCCCCTTTTTCTTTAGAGAAGCTTACTAGATTTAGAAGTCATTGATGTACAACTACAGCTTTGTATCTTATATACTATTACAAATAATCAAAGTTACATATCTAACTGAACTGCAGTCTTTCTGTTTTTTTTTTCCATTTTTAAGTATTTATTACATAATGTGCAACTGTTTCTCATTTCTCTAAAATTTTCAGAGGCTCGGGCCAGGAAGTAGGACGATCATGTCACTTTCTAGAATTCAAAGGCAAGAAGGTCTTGGTGAGTTGATTACCAGTTTCATATTATAATTTTATATAATTTACTGCATTCCCTTCTTGAGTTCCTCCCTTCTTGTTTTTCTCAAAGATGTACTTTATTATTCTTACTATAAATCATGTTCCATTGGTATTTTTTAGGGAAGCCACTCATCATTTTTATTACTGCATAGGATACCTCAAATTACACTGAGAGCACTTTCCATATGAAGAATGATACTACCAGATGCTAAGTTTTGTGCTCAACAACTCCTGTTGATATAGCTAATAGTTCCAGGAATTATCTGTACCATAGTTTTTGAATGTACTAAATCCATGAACGAGTAAGATTTAAATGTTAAGTTTTTGAATTGAGCATTTTACATTATTGATTCTGATAAATTATTTTTCCATGGTTTTAGCTGTTGGTCATAATGTATAATGTTTCATATAAAGCTCTTGTATTCTTTACTTTTCAGTTGGACTTTGGCATCCATCCTGCACTGACTGGAATGAGTGCCCTGCCCTTTGTGGACCATATTGATCCCGAGCAAATTGACCTGATGTTAGTATCACACTTTCACTTGGACCATGCTGGTGGTTTGCCATGGTTTCTTATGCGAACTCGCTTCAGAGGTCGCTGCTTCATGACTCATCCCACTAAAGCTATCTACAAGTGGCTTCTCTCCGATTATATTAAAGTCAGGTAAGAAGCATTTAAACCATACCTTAAATAATCAATGCATGATTACATGAATTCATATGATTTTCATATGTTGATATATCACATTAGTTAAGCTTTAGAACAGAATATATTGTATATGTTTGATTTCCATATTTTCAGGTCATTATTTTATCATTATCCTTTTCTCCCACAGTAATATAGCTACTGAGCACATGTTGTATTCTGAGAGTGATTTGGAGGCCTCACTAAACAAGATCAATGTTATTAATTTTCACGAGGAAAAGGAAGTTAATGGAATTAAGTTCTGGTGCTATCATGCTGGACATGTACTTGGTGCTGCTATGTTTATGATACAGATTGCTGGTGTGAAGGTATGTAGACTGGGATTTGTTATTTTATGAAATAAACTAATAGATTTTCTCTTCTGAATCTTTTTTCTTGGCTTTGCACTGTATTATGCAACCTTTATACTAACTTAGTTATTTTTATGTTATCAGAGATTCCAGTAACATTGGATACTTTAAGATAGATGAAAAAAATATAAATTCATTTTCAAAGAGTAACTTTTTCTTCACAAGATAAGAGCAGGTTGAAAAAGAACTACTATCAATCCTATTCTGAAGGAAAGCTCATACCTATTGACCATTTTAACATAATGTGCATTTTGCAACTGTTTTTAACTTTTGATAGTATTGATATAACAAAACTTGCACAATAGAGTTAACATCGGTATTTTGATATTTCCAGGGTGTGAGATTTTTCAGTTTTCATTGATTATGTCCATGATATTAGTTTATAGATGGAATCTGATAGACATTGGTCTTACAGCTCCTATATACTGGTGATTTCTCAAGACAAGAAGATCGTCACCTGATGATGGCAGAAATTCCCCAAATAAGACCAGATGTATTAATGATTGAGTCTACATATGGTGTTAGTATCCATGAACCCCGAGAGAGCAGAGAAACAAGATTCACAACAACAGTTCACACAATTGTTGGCAGAGGTGGACGTTGTTTGATACCTGTGTTTGCACTTGGCAGAGCTCAAGAACTTCTCCTAATTTTGGGTATGATACTGGTGATTAGTTAT